CAGCACTTGCTACGCTCGGGCCCACGCTGTTCCTTCCAGTTTTTCAGAAACGCTTAGTTATAACGGACGCGGAAACCAAAACACCGATTGGCCGCTTGGGAATTCTTTATTGTAACACCAACATATAAAAAATATTTCTATTATGGTCTGTGAACAAATATTACAATAATAAATCACGAGATTACTTCTGATGGTTTGCTACTGACTTCTTTCTGAACAGCGACCGATGAGACAATGACTGTCGTATTGATTCCTCCGCGAAAATTGGGGAAGTTGATTTTGAGCAAACAACAATGAATTGATCGTTCAATCTTCAACTACATTGACACTCCCCGGCAAAAAGGGGATCCATCCCTTTTTTCCTTCACGACCAATACACGTTGACTTGGATGCCATTGCGAGAACCTGGGTCACACAGAAAGAGCAGAAATGGAAAACAAACAGAAAAGCCAACACACCACAAGCATACCCACAGCACAATCTCACACATCAATGACGACCTGCGCCTCCAGACAGAGACCTCCTCTTGACATCTTGCAACACAATCGCCACTTGCTAGAATGACTCTTGCAGAATGCAACGTGACCATAGCACCAACTCATGATACTCTACGCACATCCTCTTATCTACTCACTACCAATTACCACTGCAATCGCTTGTCACTCATTCTGCCTCAGTTCTAGTAGCGGTGACGCATGCGAGCCTCAGTCGTTTACACTCTTTCTCGCCGGCGTGTCGGACCGCAGCTAACAATTATCTCCGTGTGCATTTCATTCTCAGCAATAGCCTAGCCTCCCCGGCGTATACGCCCCATCTGCTGTCCTTAACATCAATCAATTCATTCATGGATGTAGAAGACTCTAAACAACTTCAGAAGTAATCACGACGAAAATTTTAACAAAATTACGCAATAACAACAAGATACGAAAACAACAAGTAAACACAATGAGTCCAAAAAACACCAGTTGATATGACACACCACACATATATACAAGCTGTACACAAAAACTCGCGGATCACAGCTTGATGGAATTCCTTTGAAGAATCGCAGGACTTACACCAGTACGCCTGCAACCCTTCACAGGTTGACGATTGTAATTTGTGGAATGTCCGGACACACACAAGATTACCCAACAATTACAATAATTGGAACTCACACAATTATTTAACACAAACATATGCACAATCAACACATCAAATGTTGTGGATTCTGGCACGACAAACTACCCTTGAAGAACTGTAGGACTTACAGCAGTACGCCTACAACCCTTCTCAGGTTGACGCTCTAGGTTGGAAAATCGTCGCAGTGTTCATTTGCTGACTTCCTTCCATCATCTATATCCTCAAATCTGAACGGCAACACGCCCATATCATTGTATCGTAGAATATAGATGACGAACAAACACACGACATATCTCATCAACCAAGTGTAGAAGGAGAGTAATTTACACCAAAGATAATAACATTCAAATAGTAACTTGAAACTAGAAATGCCTTTATTCGTGCAAGTCAATTTAACAATTACTCTCTCGTTTACACTTGGCTTATCCTCACTAAACTGACCATTGATATTCGTCCTTTCAAACGAACTGATACTATCATAGTCATTGCACAAGATACTTGAGTTGATGGGTGTCTGTTTCATTGTGGATGACAGCACCAACGACGACTGATTGATATCAGTTGATGAAGTTAGCGGTGGATCAAAAGCTGTTGTTTCTCGGCTTTCAGAAGTTTGTCTACCTGCAAGACCACCACCACTGCTGTCTTTTACTATCAGCTCAGGTTTAGCACTAGCATCTGATGATAGGTGGGCTACATGCTGATCAATCACACTGACGGTCTCACAAGTATGCATGCCTTCTGCAACTGCACCTGCATTTATTTCTACTTCACGTTCAAGTTGTACAGAACCTTTATTTAACTTAGCGGTAGTAGGCATTCCCTCCATTTCATCATGATCAACCAAAGAGTAATCTGCACTATCATGATCATTACCACAAATATTCACTTTACCGTCAACTTCATCATTTTCAAACTCTTTAATAACAGAAGTAGACAATTTTGGTTCCTCCTCGCAAATCCTAAAAGGTTTTATAACTTCACTCTGACTAGTAATACCTTGTAAACTTGTAGGGTCAGAACTGCACTCTGAAGCAGCAACTCTATTCTGTGACACTCTATTCAACAATGGCTTACCAGTTGCAACTACAGACTTCCTGGCCAAACCGTTATCGTCACACAATTCGGAGTCATGCCTGGAGTTTACATTTAGCTTATCACTGAACTTGCTCACTGGTTCACAGTTCACCTTTGTACGCACTTCTTGCAAACGTGTGAAACACAACCGTGTTTGTCTTGCATCTTGTAACTTATCTGTTGAGGATGTACTACGAAACCTGTTACACTCACTAGGTCTATATGCATTACTAGACATCATGGAGCCTTCTCGATATCCACCTCTCTGAGGCCTATTCGTCATCAATGATTGCGTTTTACCCTCAGACTGCTCTATTCTATGGGTGAGATCTAACAGACTGGCGAACTTGCTCATAGATTGATTGACACTAGTATTTACCAGTTTCAGGATATCATCAAACTTTGGCTCGATACCCTCATCCTCCATACGGGAGTTCATCTTCACCCACTTCCTTTGCAGTCGAGTAGGTAGACGTCTTGCTATTACTTCTAGTATAAAACTCGAGTTGAGGTCACTCATGCGATTCATCGAAATCATTCCATTCTTGTAAATTAGCAAATTATCCAAAAACTCAGTGAGTGCCTGAGAGTCATCCTGTAATTGACCACCATTACCCTTAACAGCCTCGAATAATTTCCCTGCAATCATCGAAGGTCTTCCAAACCTTTGACGTAATATGCTCATAGCCTCATCGTAGCCCTCTTTTGGCTTCATAAACTTACAGCACTGTATAGCTCTTGCAGCATCTCCAGTGCAATATCTCATCAAATACATTAACTTCAATTCATCATTTAATAAAAACCACTCAACATGATCTCAAACTCCTTTACAAATTGTAAATAATCAGCCGGGTTTCCATCAAAACACCGTGGTTCAAATTTAGGGAGTTTGATGTTCCTATTATCCCTGAACGGCGAAACAGTAACATCAACCATGTCATGCTTAACATCAGACACATCGTTACAATTAACAGACAAGTCACCATGACTTACTTTCCTGTTTGCATCCAAGACACTCTGTCCCTTCTTTGACCCAGGCATTGTTGAACTTGACCCAATTCCAAAAACGTTCCAGATATTGCTTGTTCAAAGAGGACTTGACCGGCACCAGGAAAAATGAACGGCGACTATCCAAACTTTCACCAACTGTTTGAATCCGCCAGATCTGTTTCTATCGTCAGAAACTGTCTGTCACGTCTCATAAACCGTTAATGCCCAGCTCTTGCTACGCTCGGGCCCACGCTGTTCCTTCCAGTTTTTCAGAAACGCTTAGTTATAACGGACGCGGAAACCAAAACACCGATTGGCCGCTTGGGAATTCTTTATTGTAACACCAACATATAAAAAATATTTCTATTATGGTCTGTGAACAAATATTACAATAATAAATCACGAGATTACTTCTGATGGTTTGCTACTGACTTCTTTCTGAACAGCGACCGATGAGACAATGACTGTCGTATTGATTCCTCCGCGAAAATTGGGGAAGTTGATTTTGAGCAAACAACAATGAATTGATCGTTCAATCTTCAACTCCATTGACAGCCCCCCTGAACGTTGTTTTCCCCTGAAGTGGCGTTCAATCAGGCGTGGATGTAGTACCTACCTGAATATCGACTGATCATCAGTTGACTACTGTCATCTGTAAAATCGAAACAGAATCGATGTTTTCCAGTCGACCTTCGCAATGATTTTACAGTTCAACACTTTAGTGTTACTATCCTGATAGCTTATATTGTATGTGAACTATTGGAATTGTCGAAACAGTACTAATTTGTCGATTTGAGTTTATAAAATGTTTGTCAGAGCCTGTAAAATGGCATTCATCCTATGTAAATTTGTCTGCTTATATGAAAATATATTACTGCCACAAAGCGCTGCACAGTGGCGTGTACTACTGAGAGGATTTTGCAACCAGTATATGGGTGCTGTAATCTGTAGGAGTATTGAAAGTTGGAGGGATGAAATGGACGAGTACGAAGAGAAATGAAAGATCCTCTCCGCGCGACGCATAAAACATGAAAGGGAGATAGAGGAATGCACAATGTATATAATACGGGCAAGTGGTGGTTTCAGTGTAAGTTTCACGAATTTTTCCACAATTGCACATCATCTTACAAAGTAAACGGTGTCACCAAACACCACCGTATTCTCACATTTCACAACAATCACTAAGTTTCCCCAGAAACTGTAAGTCATGACTCTCGATCTTCTCATTCGAGCAATTCTTCACAGAACCACAACTGTTGAAAATTATTATTATATTGAGCATAATTGAAACAATCAGTAAACTAATTGGTGTATAATTAAGAATTCTACACTTTAAAATTTTGTTTGATCATTATTCTACTACCACTGCTATCTGTAGTGACGAGGTAAATATTATTTCTCAGTAAACTGGGTGTTGAACAGTGGCTTCCTTAACGGATCCGAATTAATCAAATTGTCACAGTGAGTAAACCGAGGATAACTCATCACGTCTGCTAGACCGTCAAATTCCCTGTGGAGAAGAAAGTAATATGACATTCCAACTGAGAATTTTGAACATCAAAATCATGAAAAGGCTGGATGGATTGCTTATATGTGACAAGTATTACAGATGCAACCAAGAAGCATTTTTATGAGAAAATTCCTGGTAATTTCCTAATAGGTGTATACACTTAATATAGTGAATGCTGTAGTGTGACAGGCAGAAATTGCGGTATATTGCACAGACAACCAAAAACATCCGCACGAAACTGCGAAATTAAATCGAAATTTTCCAGACTGTTGTGGTTCTTTTAAGAGCCCGCCAAGTTGGACTTCAGCAGTTAAAAAATTCACTGACGATAGGGAACCATAACAAGCTTTGAACCAAGAATCTTTTACACCTTACTCCGAGCTGATTATTATTATGTTGAATACATGTCGTCTAACCATGCGACTGATAAATGCATTCGACCTTGTCTTTAAATCTTTACAAGGCGGGTGATTAGAATTTATCTCAGAATGGAGTCCGCGACTTTGATGGACAGTGTTGATTCTCATGAGGAGAAAGTCAATACTGATGGTGATGTAGAAAAGCCTGACGGTAAGTTAGTTTCTCGGTGTACATGTGACTATTTGTGATATTTAAAATGTCTAAGTGGTTTCTAATTGCCAACTGTGGCATACCGCACAGTAAAGTTGAAGAATAGCGAGCCACTGGGAATGGAACCGATAATAGCTTCGCCAGATAATCCAACCAGGGGAGGGGAAACGGAAAAGCCTTCACAACGATGACTGAAAGGTGCAAAAAACTACCCCTTTAAGTCCTTCCATTCTCCAGTATTTCTTTGGGAGTGTCATATCTGGAAATGTCGAGAATGAATAGTCAAGCGGGCGAATTGTTGAGGCAGAAATAGGGAATTCCGTATGGGATGATTCGACGCTAGTGTCTATCTAATTTCCGTTTTACAGCATATTGACCTAATATACCCAATTTTTAGACTCACTTCACCTCCTTGACGGGTCGGGTAGTTAATGCACAGATGTGTAATTACGAAAACTGTTCATTGTTTATATTGTTTTTAGTATTGTTATTAGAGGATCAGCCGCACGCATAAGTCTGGGTATAACAGTTGTATCTTAACTCGTGCAGCCATGTAAGAGCTTGCGGCGAGTTGTCATCTGAAGTGGTGATGACTAGTGGAGTCCACATGTGTTTCAATTCGTAGATGTACTAATAGAATTAACCCTAGCTGAATTCAGTTACTCGGGGATTAACTTGTTACGAGGTAATATTCTCGGTGACAGAATATACGAATGATATAGTCCCAGGCGAAGACGCTGATATAATGCAGAGTCTTGTGGACACCTCGAATATTTAGTATGCGATTCGCTCCCACCAAATGTAAGATGATGCTGCAGGACTGGACTACTTTGACTCTTAGCTTAGAAATAGGGAGTGAGTTGGTAGAGCGTGTTGGCCACTTCACTTATTTGGGAAGTTGCATCGGCCAGCCCCAACGGGTCGATCGCCGGCGAAATGTCAGCACGGATACAGAAGGTTAGTTTCGCATATGCCAGTTTACGCCGCGTTTGGCGTAGACGTGATATCCAGCTGGCTATCGACCAAAGGGCGTATGTGAGGACATGAAAAAGCTATCTTTGATCATAGGTGCATGCGTCCTATATACCGTGTGAAGTGGTATGGTAGGGTGGGCAATATTGAGGTTAGGCATCGGGTGCTGGGTAAGGAGGGAAAATCAATAGACGAGGCTCTGAAGTGCCGTCGATTGAGATGGTTACGACATCTGTTACGTATGCCTATCCTAGCCATCGCCTTCCTCAACAACGGGCAATGCTACTTGACATAGGATGGATCAGGCTGGGTTAGAGGTAGTGGTGATCAAACCAAGACATGTTTTCATCGGTCAATGAAATCCACAGCAGTTAGTTTAACCATGTAGGAAGGTGTAGACTTTTTGGTTGGCGTCATCGAGATGGTTAGGCTAGAGATAATTGGTGGTATGGCACGATATCGTCAACAATGGTGCAGATGCATCCACTCTTTGTGAATATACTATCCAATGAAACTATGGTTCTTCGATATTACTATTCTTTTTGCCTAATATCTCTGTTTTGAGTCTCTTACTTTGTATACTAAATGAAGTGTGGCGACTCGAACTTCTGGCCATCTGTCCAAAGTTCTACGTTGAAACCAGTCAGTCAGTTGTATCTGTGGTCACCACTTTGACGTATAAACGAGTGATAAGGTCTACAGAAATAGGTCTCATCCGGTCATAATCTTGAAATAGCGAAATAAAACTAACAGCTAGAACATAGTGAATGACCTTGAATTTCTCTTAAAACCGTCACCATATTAAACATTAGTCACGAATGCCATCCATGTAGTGTTTTGAGTTCACTCTGACTTATATTATTGTATGGATGGTATATTAAATAGATGGACCCTGATTCCTGGTAACAATGTGCATATTGTAGCTCTTATTTGGTCCGTGCTTTATTTAACTTCACTATATTTACCCTCTAAGAACAGTTTCGCCAATATGCAACAAACTGATGCACCAGCTGGCTACTATTCTTTGACTACACTCGTCATTTTAAATTCATGAAATCTGACATGTTAGTAGACCAATTATTTAGCTACCGTTATCTGTCTTCGCCTCTGGTATAAGCAGATTAATGGAGGAATCATGTCGAATATTAAAATAAGGGAGTCGACTAGTTGATCTACAGAGTTGTTGGCATATATCTTGCTGGTGAAAGTTCTCCATGGCTCCCGGTAATCGAACCACGTTGATATACCATTCAATCCTTTCAGATTCTTAAATCCATGTACACTATGGGTTTGAAATCGAAAATTTCCCACTCCCTTTGGTTGACCACTCTGATTGTAAGCGCTAGACATTTTCATTCTTTCACTTCAGTAAGTAACATCCCCTCTTCATGAGGGCAGTATATAGAATTTACGTGATAGAGGCTATAAACCTGTGGCCGTGTGAGATCATTTCGAGAGGAAAACCGAAGTCTATCCATTCTCGGCCGTACCAGGTTGTTCCAATTTGCCGTTACCTTTTCAGCTGAGTAAAGTGTTTTGAGTTTTGTCTTATGTCAGGAGTAAGTGAACAGGGGCTAAAGTCGGAATTGAGTGCATGATTTCTTCGATCCGAAACGTAGTACATTTGAATCATTTATTAGTTTGGAAGTGAGGCATGCATATTAGTATAATATCTACACTGTGAAGCAGCGCAAAGAATGAATAAATAGAATTTTCCGAAAATAAAAATGAGAGTTCCGTTAAGATCCAAAAACAGCCTTAAAAAATGAGTCAAGTTCATCTGCATTATGGCTGGCTTCATATATTATCGCTAATCCAATAATTAATTCTTGTGTCTCTTGAAGATTCATAGTTTTCTTTTAAGTGTGCTTAATATTTGCACTTTATAGTTAGACTTCATACTCTCACATTTAATTATCTGGAGCTTTGTGCATGTGATGTGAACTTTTTTGTCAATTCGAAATTTTCGTACTTCCAGCTACTGAGTCTCCATTCATGTCATTCTGAGGGAACGCATTAGTGAATAATGAACAGCTTTCTAAACTATTAGCCTTACTGTTTTACAGCATTATACGGATCTCTAATTCTGTTTAATCCCACCGTCGTTGTGTTAAATGTTATTTATTTTTATTTCAGCTGAAGATAGTGTCTCTGTCTCCGAGGCGGAGGTTAAGCAGAACGAGTCAATAAATGGACATGAAGTTGATACCAGTGAGAAAAGACAGCGTAAAAAAGTTCAGCGTCTATCAGAAACATGGAATCGCGTGCATGTAGAAAAAGAAGAAGAACGAGTAAAAGCAGTACAAGCAGTTACTGCAGCATTTGAAGGGGCCACTGGAACAGCCCTTGGTGAAATCCCACTTATCGAGGCTACTATTCGAAAAGTGAAACCAGCTGATCTTAAATTGTTGCATTTGATAATATACGGAAGACCTGGAAGTGTAAATGAAATACGCAGCAATTTACGTAAATTTCGAGGTTTTGGATTCCAACCAGGCTCTGAACAGTATGAGAAAAAGTCGACATATATTCAACAGTAGGTTTGCATTTGATATTAGTTTTGTGCATAGTGATTTAGACTGCTCTAGCAAGCATGTACAGTACTTATTGCCTATTTAGATAATGATCAACTGAAAAGTCACAGAAGTACATTGTAAAACACAAAATAAGGGAATAGGCATATAGTAATAATGTAATAGACTATGGTGGGTGTGATGGAAAAAATAATCCAGTGAAAATTGGCAAAGCCTTTTAGAATCTGGAATTGCCATGGGCTGATGCCATATTGTGATCTGACTATCTGCTTCACTTCCGAGTTTATTCTACTTAATCTAACATTGCTCATAGAAGACAACAGTTACCCAGCACCTTGACCTGCATGTCCTAATCACCTGAATCAATGAAACTTCATAGGTTCGTCGGTCGACTCAAAGACTACGTCTAACTTAATTATTACCGATTATGCTACTGCACTTAACACACCCAGTGGATCGAAATTATCTGTGATCAAAGATCTCTAATCCTTTTACGTCTTAATTTTTTTTACCGATGACGTCTAAGTTGTGGAGAGTTGAGCGCATCAGCGTTCTATGCATATACCCTTTGATGGGTAGTTGAAAATAAAGGTTATGTATGGGGAACTGTAATTATAATTTTGTAACTATAACAGTGCTTGGAGATGATGTTGAAGCTCTAAATATCTACGTGCCCCAGTTGAATTTTTCCCTTGACTGTATTTTGATTGTAGTGTAACTCAAGTGTTTTACAGTTTCAACATTTCTGCTAAGTAATTTAGTTGTATGTGAGTTATTGTTTCAGTTGCAAATAGCTATTACCCATACAAGCGACTGACTACTAATGGTCCCTTCCCAAATCCAAATTCAGTTTCTCAAATTTTACTCAGGGAAGCTCTCGTTGTTTGAAAAATAACTAATTGTGGAAAGTGTCAACGCAAATTTTTTTTAGATAATCGTTCATATCATGCATTTGACTCTTCATGTTTATTTAATTATGAGATTTCTAAGCTCTTAACCTTTTGCATTGGTTCATTGCATTTGTTGGTGGTGGTGGAGGGCCGGGGAAGGCGTATTTCGGTCACCTATTCGCCCATGTATATCTCGAGATAGCAACGTCCTAACATTGCTTTGTTGTTTTCATTTTATTTACTTACCTACCAGACGTCAGACAACTGATTTACGGGAGTCATTGCGTATTCTAAATTTAGAAGTTACTGGGACTCGAGAACAGCTAGCTTCTCGTTTATTAGAATTTTTGCATAAACCTTCTGCTGATTCTGTAAAGTATAAAGGAAAAATTGTCAAAAAGCAAGGTCGAAAAAGTACGTCCAAGGGAGATGGTACTACTACTAAAAAGCGAAAATCAAAGTCACCGAAAAAGAACGCCACAACAAGTGAACCTAGTGTAGACAATTCAAGTCAACAAGATGTTGATGAGCCTCCTAGTATGTCTTCTGAATCAAGTGAATCAGAAAGTGATATATCTAGTGAAGCTGAATCAGTTAAGAAGAAGAGGAAGAAAAAGACGACGACGCCGACGCCGAGACAAAAGCGCACTAATAAAAAGGTTCAACAACAAAAAACGCCAAAATCTAATGCTAAACGTACTAAAAAGAATGCTTTGAATGATTCAGAAGATGATGAAAATGATGGTGATGCTGATAATGATAATGATGATAATAATGAATCTGTCCCCGCCAAGATACAAAAACTTGATTCAAAGAAAAATGAACTGAATTCTGACGAAGAAGATGCACCTCTCTCCAAGTTAACATCTTCAAAAGCAACTCCTCCAAGCGATGATGAATTAAAAAAGCATATAATCAGTTTGCTTCAAACGGTAAATTTGGAGGAGACTTCACTAAAAGTTGTTCGAGAAAAGGTAAGTGTGATGTCATATGGCTTGTGTTGTACTTTTGTTCAATTATTCGTATAGTGTCTGTTATAAACCAGGATACATACTTTGTCGATTCAGTTTGTCAGTTAGACAGTAAACGTCGAAATTCTGTTATTGGTTAATGCATAACCCTAGAATTGGGTGCATAACTGAGGGGTTTGTTATTTCTGCTCATATATTATTTTTTTTATCTCAACATAGTATGGAGACCTACAGGGGACTTCTGTGCTATAAATACCTCTAAAAACAGGGAACTATTCAGTTATTTATACATAGTACTTTTTGTTGTACTGCGTAGAACCTTGTTTTGGGTGTAATTTTTATTTCATCAAAGTATTTTGCATCATTGCTATTCATTTGTAGTGATTGAAACCATATGCTTATCTATCTAACTATTAAGTTACACACACATGGGAGAAAATAACAGTAAGTGGTTGCAAAAACATTTCTATTTGATAAGAGTTCTGAGTCCTTGACCCAGTGTGACTGGAAGTTAAGTTTCTAGACCAGTAAGTCGAAACTTGGCGATGTTTAAAATCTCTGAAATGAATATTTAGGATTTCTCCTTTTGCAATTTGGTTGGTTGGTTGGTTTTATAACACTACTGCATGTGTGTAATATGTAGCATCACTTGCATACTACTCCGTTGACATGGATTATTAGATTATGCAGGACTATTACTCAATAAGACTGTAAGGCACTGGGGATAATTTACAGTGTTGTGACTTATGATCTTCAATGAAACTGTTTTGTATTTCTTTATTACTCCTTTGTCTCACACCTCTGCTCACTGTTTCTATTATGCTTTTCTTGTACTTTCTTCTCTTGCTTCGCGTGCTACACGGAATGTGGCGACTTGAACTTCCGCACATTTGTGCAAAGTTCTATGTCGAAAACAGACAGACAGACAGACTGTTGTGATGCATTATCAACCCAAAACATTAGATGAAAGAGATTGGATTAGACTGAAGGGACGCTAAGAGGGATCTTACCATTTGACTGATCCGAGCAGTGTATAGAGACACTAGAACTTTCTGTTTATTTCTTGAGGTAATTGTTGACAATAGCAGGAAGCTATAGGTGGTATGGTTCAAAATACGCCTTGGTGGCACAGGTACATTCTTGCTATAGTTTCCTTTAAGTTGTAGGGCACTGGGATAAATAATTCGGAGGCTACTAGTGTATATTCTGCTGCAACTTTATAGACTTTGAGAAGGCCTTCGACAGCGTCGATCGTGAAGTAATTTGGAAATTACTCGAGTACTATGGCGTACCCCAAATATTCATCAACCTTATTCAACAGCTGTACGACAACGGCACCTGCCAAGTGATCCACAACGGGAGACTCAGCGAGGCGTTTGGAGTAAACACAGGAGTCAGACAAGGGTGCTTACTATCACCAATGATATTCCTAATTGTGGTGGACTGGATTATGCGTCAGACTGTGGGAAACGAGAAGACAGGAATATCCTGGACCGACGTGAAGAACCTAGAAGACCTGGATTTCGAGTGTGGATGACTTATGTTTGATGTCACTGTCACAAAATTGAAAACTTACAAGCGAGCGAAAACCGACAAACTGGTCGAAGAAGCACCCGGCGAAGACAGGACTCCAGGTGAACATATACAAGACGGAAGTTATGAAAATAACCAACCAACAACAGCAACAATATCCAACGTCAATCACCATCAACAGGAGGGATTCGAAAGAGGTTACTTCATTCACTTATCTAGGGAGCATTGTCTCAAGTACAGGAGGAGCGGACGAGGATGTCAAATCGAGAATCGGGAAGGCGAGAAACACATTCATCAGCCTGAAATCAATCTGGAAATCTTCGTCACTCAGCATCACCAACAAAATTCGGATTTTCAATACAAACGTCAAGTCAGTCAGTTCTTCTTTACGGATCAGAAACTTGGTAGGTGGGCCACAAAAAACATTTCCAACAGCCTGTTGAATACATTTATCAACAAATTTCTTCGCTCTATACTGAAGATCAGATGGCCGGAAAGAATCACCAACAAGGAATTATGGGAACAAACAAAGCAAGAACCAATCGCCCAACAACAACAAATATGCAGGAGAAAGTGGAGGTGGATCAGACACTCGCTGAGGAGACCTCTGGGTGACATCGCGCGCCAAGCCCTCGAGTGGAACCCGAAAGGGAATCGGCGTGTGGGACGTCCAAGGCTGACACGGAGGAGATCGTGTGAAGAGGAGTTGAAAGAAGATGGATTAACATGGATGCAGGCGAAAAGTATAGCAGAAGACAGAAGAAAATGGAGACATGCAGTTGAAGTCCTATGTTCCAATAGGAACCCAAGCGAGCAATAATAATAATAATAAGTGACCACAGCTACAGCCTGTTTTGAACTCAGTCCATGAGTCTCTAGATCAGGGAAAGGGTGTATTGATCATACTTCCACTCTTTGACAGATTTCTGAAGAATGGGCATACTTAACAGCACCCAATAATTGTCATATTCTTGACCTGAGGCCATAATTCAACTTTGTCGACTGAGAGGTACTATTTTAGTGTTTAGCCTTGAACGGAGTACCGAAAAAAATCCATCGTGCCAATCCAGTCACTTTACTTGAATTCATACGACCGTGTAAGAGCTGACAACTAGTGGGGGGCCCTAAGGGATGCCGCCTGTCCCTATTTTTGTGTAATTTCATTACAGATATACTAATGGAATTTACCCTAACTACTTTCAGTGGCTTAGGGATTGAGCTGTTACTATGGAATAGTCTTGTTGACGTACAGTATGCGGATGGTATAATCCCCTTAGGCGAAGGCGCTGATAAATTGCAGAGCATTCTGAACACCTTGGGCAACAATTTTAGAATGTTTGGGATGCGATTCTCTCCAATTAGATGAAAGATGCTAATACAGGACTAGACTGCAGCCACTCGTAGCTTGGTTGAATGTGCTAACCGCTTCACTTATTTAGGAAGCTGCATCAGCCTCGATGGGCTGATCGTTGATGTGATGTCAGCGCAGATGCAAAAGGCTTGTATGCATATGCCAAATTGCACCATCTCTGGCGTAGGTGTGAAATCCGACTATAAACCGAAGGACATGTGTACTGCATGGCGTTCATCGCATCCTCCTTTTTATGGATGTGAGACGTGGCCGTTGGAAGCGAAAAACATGGAAAGGCTAACTGTCTTTGATTGTAGGTGTCTACGTTCTGTCTCCTACTTTAGGTGGTATAGTAGAGTGAGTAATATTGAGGTGAAACTTCGGTCGAGCGCTACGTAATGAGGGGAAATCAATAGACGAGGCTGTGAAGTGACATCGATTGAGAGAGACGGTTATGATATGTGTCACGCATGCCTAGCTATCGATCGCCTACCTCGACAATGGGCATTATTAGCTGATATAGGATTGATCAGGTTGGAGAAGAGCTAATGGTGGTCGTCAAGCCAAGACACAGAATCAGTCTAACAGTTAGTTTGAACGAAGTACGGGGGTGTAGACTTCCTGGATGCTAAGGACCAATAACTGAAGACATTTAGTAATATGGCTCGATATCGTCCTCAATGACAGTGCAGATGCATTCCCTCTTTGTGATCTCCCATATCCATTAAAACTAATATTCTCTCATGTTGTTACTCCTTCTCGCCCACATTTCTGCTTGCTATCGTTCTTTCAAATCTCTTTTCTTCTCCATTATGTCTTCCTTTGTGTGCTGTATGAAGTGCGGTCAGCCGAAGTGCTGCATTTCTGTGCAAAGTTCTATACTGCAACCAGCCAGTCAGATGGTCAGTCAATCCCTAAGTTCATCAGGGTTTGAGTGTTTTCCTCTCTTTCATCTATAGATAACTGAACTATTTTAGTCTCTTGAATAATAACATCAGATCAAATTATCTTTCTGTTCGTTACCTGTCTTGTTAACATTTGAAGCTTTCTATACTTTTGTGTTGTAGTGTAGTAGTATAGTTTTCCCTTTTCTTTCTCGTAAAATTTATCTTTATGCACGCATTATTTTTCTTGTTTATTTTCCACCTTAGGTATTCGCAAATTATCCTAATGTTGATCTGTCTGATCGGAAAGACTTTATCAATTCCACTGTCAAGGAGGTGAGACTTTTCTTTGTGATAATCTCTGCGTTTTCCCTCTTTGAAAAGAGATTCTCATTTGCTTTTACAGACATCAATCACTCCGACTGTAGTTTTTTTCCTTTGTTCAGTTTTTGTTACACATTACGAATGTTATTTTATGTATCTATATTGCAAGAGTTGGTTTATTTGTGCTGTAATAATTTGTTGTTCTTACAGTCAACTTCAAGGTTTCTGCTTGAGAGAGAAAGAGAGTTGTCATAATAACTTTTGATTCAATTGAAGGAGATCGTACGAGGAAAGAGATAAGAGACTATGGGCAGTCGTGGGGCCTACCGATGAAGAGGATCACAGGGAATGGAACTAAGTGGATATGTGCTGTTGTAAAACTCTGTGTTCCACTCAGAACCGAAGGGAACAATAATAATAATATCTGTCTTCCTATATATTAATCAGTGAAACTGCAATCACATACAGGTTTAATATAATAGGCTATGAGACACACTATTGAACTAGAGATTAAGGTTTCATGCTGATTAAGTACATAAATCATTGTTAACTGCATCCTTTTTGTGCACCCGCTTTGATTGTATTATAATAACAACTTATAACTAGGAGACAAATTGCTTTTTTTAAAATAGGTATTTACTTCTACGGTTTAGTGTGCCATTTACAGTCGCAAGCACTATTTGTCATAATAATGTGTTATGCGGTATCCTGTCACATAATGGGATGGAGATATCACCTGTCACTGGCAAGCAGAGAATTTCAAGCTGACTGCTGTTTACGGAAATCTCAGGATTCTTTTCGCGATTTTCACTTTGCCAGTATGAAGTGCTATATCTCATATTATTTTCTTTTTTTTGGTTGAACATCGCAATTTGTTGTCTCGACAGGACATTTATCGAGGCTTTTGATCAATTCATTGTGGTGTCAAAATACTTTTGGAAATTGTTACCTGGTTGGTACGTTCCTTTCATGTACCAGGCTTTAAGTCAACCTTATTGTGAGAAGGCTGGTGATACTACTCCAAGTGAAGTATGAACAGCGGTTTTTCGAACCCGGAGCCACTTGATTGAAAGCCAAGTACTTGAGCCACGATTCCGATATTCTCATCATAGGAGAAACACGTTCATATGTCGTTCCTTTTTTCCCATCACTGTGAAAAGTGTTGTTTTTTGGATTTACACGAAATGTTGGCAAAACTAACATACGTGTCTCCTGAAAAAATATTTCAAGCCTGATCACAGATTGATATTCTTTAGGGAACCATTAAAAACCGGCAGGAAGTACACAAAAGTACTCTTCAGCACTGTGCTCATCTATAGGATCGAACGCAGGACCTTCAGGTTAACAGGCAGCCTTTCTGACTGACTGGCTATTCAGCCATTGAGACTCGATCCAACTACTCATGAATTCCAAGGTATATCATCGCTGAGTGAGTATTTGTTTCCCCTCACACTCGACCTGTTAGATCACGCGTGATTTTCAAGGCTTCTCTGACTATGTTGTCAATTTGTATAATCAAACTACAATAAAATCCCAACCGTACTTAGTTGTTGCTTTCGTTGACAGTGAGTAGACTTGATAAATCTGAGTAGATAAAAAAAGACGTTGACTGTGTGTATGTGTGTGTGTTGGCCAGCCAGAAGATATCGTAAGAAGTGACGTAATTTTATTTTAGTAATATGCACATATATATATATATGTATAGTAATTTCATTTCTATTTCTATTCCTTTTCAGTTCTTGGCACAATCTTGATTCACTTGTTCACTCACTCACTCATTGTATGCTGGATGATGATCATTGTAGGTAGTGATGGAAATGTGTACCCACCCACCCACACGTGTGTGTGTGTGTTATGTGCTATCACGTGATCATCACCATCATCATCATCGTCATTAGCAATGGTCCAGTTCATCGTTTACTATTTTATTACCGTTATTATTACTACTATTATTATTATTTTATATCCCGGCAGCTATATTATTGTATTTCTTCTCACCGATGATATATGCAAGTTTAAATTGTATCCTATTCTCACCGGTAGTGGGCATTGTGTCATTGTCATTTGTTCTTTATTCATCTTATGCCTAGATATTTTGTTTTGTTTGTTTTTTCCCGGAGAAATATTTATTTTAAATCTCATCAAAGTGTTTTATGTGTTTTTAATGTTCACCTCCCTCTCTCTCTCACTGTCGCCATCTTATTTTATATCCTGGAAACCATCTCATACACCTACATACATGTTAAATGTCATTCTTGAGTGCATTATATATATGCATATGATATAGTATATGCATAAGGATAAATGATAAATGAGTTTATAAATTATTGTACATTTTTAAATATTTTTTATTATTATTACTAATAATAAGACAAACAACAAAACAATGCATTTCTTGAATTCCTGTGACCATCCTTATACCTCTTGTTTTTCGAGTAATCAACCAACCAACCATTCAACACACACATACACACTCGTAAACACAATTTGTTTGGCTTTTCCGTTTGGCCTTCTTCTGTATTTGTTTTTGTGTTTGAGGCATTTTTCGTCAAGCTTTTTATCCCTCCCTTTGTATGTGTGTGTATGTAAGTGCATACGTGCGTGCGTACGCGTTTCTGTTTGTAAATGTTTCCATTATGATGTTTACACTCGCGCGGATTTATTATGGTTGCGCGCGCGTATACATATTATAAATATTTATATATACAGTATGTATCATCTATTGAAGATTTATTTCTCTCTCGCATATATATGTATGTATACATTGAAAATTTAATGAATCTGTTTTTTGAACTTTCTGTTTTTTTGTATTGTTCTTACAAATAATAATAATAAGTAAAATGAACTTTACTATTATTACACTAATATTGTATTAACCTGTTCTATTATTACCGATCATTGTGTTATTAATAAACTGATATATAACGAAAAAAAAACATTGTTGTCTTTTTTCTTATTTGCCTTCCTGCTTAGCCTTTAAAGTGTGTGTGTGTGTGTGAACGATGACACTTGTATAAACTTATCTGTGTATCTTGTCAACTGCTTGCTTGATTTGTATGCCTGGTGATTTAGTGATTTTTGGCTATGGAATGGCATGAGGCGCACTTCATCCTTTCTGGGTGGGGGACTCGTCAGCCGGTAGATGCACACACCTGCCTGCAATCCCCAGTGACTGTTGGTGGATGATGTTTCCACTGAGACGCGAAAACCAGTAGTCTTCATTTAAAATACTTAAGGGTTATGTAAATAAATGACATCAGTGTTAATCACCAGACATCATCGAAGCGTCTGTACTAGTGTAAAGACAGAAGACAAGGGCTAGGCCAGAAATTGTTTATTGAGACAGTCAAGAGGCATTTATAGATTTTTATGTGCATTATTATTAGCGTAGGCGGAGAAGTAACTTCTGATTGGTTGTTTTCTTGCTGAAGGTTATTCTGTACAGCCTATGACCTTTTTTAGAAAGTTAAGCCATATATCTGCGAATCATATCTCCGCACTTTAACCCCGTTGTGATTGGCTGGTGATCTTCTCAAGCTTTAAGCTTTGTTGTTGTTTTTCCCATGTCTGATTCGGGACGTGAACACTGACGTCAATTGTTGTCTACAATTTTGGCTTGCAGCCAGCTTTCACCACGCTGGGAGTTGACATGTATGAATAGAAGCCGAAAATTTCGGTTCAAGTCAACCGACAGATAAAAAAGGCAGAAATTGACTTAAACGAAGTAATTTTTAGCATGATTTTAAGGGTACTTCCATTAATAGGACCAGTCAAGGATGTAAACGTCTTGAGAGTAAAAGGAAGTTAGTATCGCTCTGTATATGTTCATTCTACACAGATGGGGGAAGAAACAATCTTATTTACTTCCGTATCAATAATTACAGCCTAAATTAAACATCTTAGCAAAGTCGTAATTTGTTATGTACACGCGCAATCAAGATACTTTCTACTCTGGTGAGGATATCTTAATGGAAATATTCTCCAAACTCCGAGGTCTTCGTTAGGTAAATTAGTTTCGAGAACACTGCAATCCCCCCTCCCACATATTTGTATTTGTCAAATTCTCAGACTTGTTTACAATTTACACACAACTGGAGGTGGTGAGGTTTCGCGATAGCTTCCTTTCGAAGCAGAAATTATTCAGATTGCAATGTATGATCTGCTTGATACCATGATTGGTAACTAGCTGGGATGAGTGTTTGTATGCCACTCGCACCAACCAGTAGTGCTTGACAGCTAGCTAGGTCAAAGCGACCTGAACAGCGGACGACCGTTCCTCTCGCTTGAGGCCGAGGTCATCAATGGTATGTCCTGTTTGAGTCAGTCCAAACCATCACTGTTGGTTGGTGTGAGAGTGGTGCTCAGCTACTTATTTCAGTTAGTCAGTAGTTTATAGTTATATGTTTGAATTCATTTCTGATAAGTGAGTGTGTAGTCGCAAGGTTTGAGCTCTTTTTCCCCAGGAGCTTTTCTTTTGTCGGACAGTGTCACTCTGTAGATTCTAATACGCAGGCGAAATACCTTTTTGTTCAATAGTCGTCAGGGAATTCATAAAGTTGACCTCATAACATGTGTTAGTTACTTCTAAAATGCTTCTTCCATATCTCTCGTAATTGCGCTACTTACGCACGCATATCTGTGTGACTGGAGAGTGAAACTGTGCACAGTTGTTAAAATCGAAGCTTGTTGTTCTACGAGAAATTATGTTGCGGAGTTGTGAACTGATTTCATTTACTTAATTATTTAGTAATGCGCTTCACATTACTAATGCAATAATAGCTCGTGTACACATGAATATTAATACATCCTCTATTGGTAAAATATCTGTCAAAAAGGTTTTGACTGTATGAATCTGAAAACTCAGGTGACTAATATGAGAGTAGAATTATGGAAACTCAACTTGCATCACAATTTATGTGAGATGGAGTCATCTTTCTGCCCAGTTGGGGTTGGTTGTCATGAATACTGCTCATTTTAGGTCTTATTTACAATAGCAGTAGAAGGTTGTCGCTAGATAATCAGTTAGTTAGTTAGTTAGTTGACTAATTCTTGTGGGCTTCATATTTTTGTAATGTGATTTATCTAATCACTAGGATTAGTGATTCCATCTGTTTTTTATTTTTACTACTTCAGTAGAGATGGGTAAGAATCGCCCTTGTTTTTGTAATGGTGCATTTGTGTTAATATCTGACTAAAGTGTGCATGCAATATTCTGTCATTCGAACTAGAGTCCTTGACCACTAAGTGTCCGTTTTGATTACTAGATTTTGTTTAATTATTGTTTTTTGTAAGATCTGCAGTGATTTAATGATCTTTATTTATGTTTCAGGTGTAGGTGAAAATGGAAGTAAACCAACGAGTTCCGTTTCTACCAAAGGTTAGTTTCAGATTTCATTTTTGTTGTTGTTTGAAATCAGAAAGGAGCACTGAAGAGGCATATTTGAACTAACTGTGCTAACTCCTAGCTTTAAGATAGGGAGTGAAAGTGATAGGGTTTGTTGACCACTTCACGTATTTGAGAAGTTGCATCAACCCTAATGGACTCATTGATTGATTGATGACGAAATCTCAGCATGGATACAAACGGCTGGTAACGGCATTTGCCAATCTACGTCACCTTTGGCGTGGAGGTGATATCTAGTCATCGGTCGATTGACGCGTGTACTGTGTAGCGGTTTCTTGTGTTCTCCTTTTATAGCTGTGAGCCATTGAAATCGGAAAATATGAGAAAGTTGTCTGCCTTTTACAACAGATTTCTGTGTTGTGTTGTCTCAACAAGACACGTGATGCACCTGCTCAGCCATCGACGGGCAGTGTTAGTTGACAGTAGATTAATTTAGAAATGGTTTAGAGGTGGTTATAACAAAGTCTGGAATCAGTCTTTGAAATCTTTGATAGTTGGTTTGAGCTAGCAACCACGTAAGAAGGTGTAGGCTGCCTAGCGCGGTCATTGGGATGCTAAGAACTGATGGCTTGAGACTCCTGGTGACATGACTGAAAATTATTCAGTATTTACTCTTTATGATCTCCCGTATCTACTAAACCGTCATGTTTACCATCTTATTATCTTTGCCCCTCCCCCAACATTTCTGTTCATCCTAGTTCCATTGGATCTCTTTTTTGTCTTGTTCGTCTACATGTTTACGGGCTACATGAAGTGTAGCAACAAGCGTGGACAGTTGCACTTGTGTGAAAAGTTCTTTGTTGAAACTCAGTCAGTTACTCAGTTACCCGGAACAAATGTCTTTTCGTGTACCAAGCTGCTAGGTGTATTTATTATATTAGTACTGATAATTATTCCCAGTTGCTCAGACTGTCTGTCTGTTTTCGACGTAGAACTCTGCACATATATGCGGCAGTTCGAGTTGCCATACACCCCTCACTTAGCACACATAGCAAGAGAAGAAAGTAAAAAGAAATGCAAAACAGAGACAGTAAACAGAGATATGAGACAACAAGAATAGTAATGTGGAAGACCAATACAGTTTTATTGGGTATGATAAATCACATGCGGTGGATGCACCTCCGCTACTCATTGAGAACGATTTTGAGACATACCACCAATTGTCTCCAGCCATTGGTTCTTAATTTCACAAAGACCTCAACCAGGAGGGTAGTCTACACCTTCCTACGTGACTTAAACTAACTGTTGTGGATTTCATTGACTGATGAAGCCATGTTTTGGTTTGACCACCACTAGCTCTTTTCCAAGCTCACCATATGTCAGCCAACATTGCCGGTCGAGGAAGACGATTGCTAGGCTAGACATGCGTAACACATGTCCTAACCATCTCAGTCGATGTAACTTCACAGCCTCGTCGATTGGTTTCCCCTCTTTACCTAGAACTCGACCGATGGCCTAACCTCAGTATTACTTACCCTATCATAACACTTCACACTGGCGATAAAATGCACGCAGCTATGATCAAAGACAGCTAGCTAGGCTTTTCATGTCTTCCACTCTGAATGGTGAGGAAACAAGACTAAGTTCCCCTACGATATTTCCTTTTGATTTCCCACTTGAAGTGCATACCCGGTAGGTTGGAAGCCATTTAAAAAATTTGCCAGTTTCCCGTTGCCATGGAAAATCATAATTTTAAGATCAAAGCAACAGCAGCAACAAGTAACGAAGAAAAGTAGATGCATATTATGCTTGATGATAGGAATTTAGCTAGGCCGGATAGGCGACCTGAACCTACAGTTTAATCCTAGTTTACGCTTCTTTTTATTCTGTGTAACATGCAACATGAATAGAAATATCATTTTTTTTCTATCGTGTTTTGTTTTTTAGACGACAACGGTCAATAGCCGAAAACTGGACAACTGCTCTTCACTGACGGCCGACCGTATTGATAAACAACCGCCAATTTTCAAGAGTCTTTTCAAGTTTACAATTGCTATCATCATTTTAATACTTCTAATACCTAGCGTCTATTTCCTCATTTCACGTGTATTTCTATCTGAAAGCATGAAATTGGATGCTGATATGTTAGAGGTGAAGAAATGTCCTGCTTGTGCTGGACAATCGATTTGTCCATATTTTTATCGTGGAGAAATACGCCTTACTACTAATACACTTCAAGGCAGTTTATTTCAGACTACAAATGATGCGCTATCATCATTCCCCATAGTTGGCAACAAGGCGATTATGGGTAAGACGACTGTACGTGTTATAATAAGACACTTTCCTATCTTAGTCGCTTACTCTGTTTTCAAGAGTTGGTTTGTTTGCTTGGGAATCATCGGCAGTACGCATACTTGAAAAAATATATCTAATCATTACAAACCAACCCTTGGAAAGCAATCTAATGCTTGCTAGTGACTTGTGCTACAGGACTGAGTTTCCTGGAATTCTAGTAAGAAGTCATGACCAGTAAGATCCATCCAGTCAGGAGTGAGGATGGATGACATTGGTTGGTGGTCGCGCTAAATGCATCACGAATTGGTAGAAGTTAGAATTCATGTACTGGACATTGAATCGGTTCGGGTCCCAGTAGCTGAATGGTATAAGAGTCAGCCAGCTTGCCTTGTTACTGGCAGGTCCTGGGTTCGAACCCCGATGGTGGGTGCATACTGCCCATTACTCTGTTTTGTTTTGTTTGATTCAGCCTAGGCATTAGTGCATTACATGATTTTTTAAGAAAATGAGTAGATTTAAGTGCAATGAAGATTAAATAAAATCAAGGTTTGAACAATAATTTTTTAATGGTTTAAGGTCATGTGTTTCTATACATGCTAGTGTGGCGTGTGCTACTGACAAGAACTATCAGCAATCTATAACCGCCCTCGAAACTCTGACTTGGCGAGAAAACGATTTAAGCTGGTTGGTGGTAATACCTGAGTCTCTACGCTATGAGGTGATACAAGAATGTCATCAGCTAGCATATACAGGAGTTTTTACGAGCTGATTACTGATTGATATCAGTTAAGGAAGCATTGAGAACTAGGGAGCACTGGACAGCTGCTGTTTCGTCCTAGCTTGGGAATCATCGGTAGTACGCACCCACTGGGATTCGAACCCCGGTTACAAGACAAGCTGACTCGTATACGATTCAGCCACTGGGAGCTGATTCAATGGCTCATGAATTCTAACTTCTACCAGTTCGTGATTTAGCGCGACCCCAACCATTGTCGTTGGTGGGACATCCATCCACACACGCGACATCTAATTGGACCTCACTGTTCACGGCTTCTCACTAGAAGTGTAGGAAACTCTATCTTGCAGCGAGTCACTAGCGACCATCTGATTAATTTTCTATAGTTTGGTTTGTAAGGGTTAGTTATGTTCTTTCGAATCCCAGTGGGTGCGTACTGCCGATGATTCCCAAACTAAAATGAAACAGCAGCTGTCCAGTACTCCCTGGTTTTCAATGCTTCTCTAACTGATATCAATCCGTGATCAACTCGTAAAAACATAACTAACCCTTACAAACCAAACTATAGAATATACAGGAGTGTAATCAGAACAACCAACCTATTGTGACAAAGCCTTTATTGGCTAGGTATGAGAGATGTGGCAAAATATGTACTTCGATGTCCGGTGTGTCAGTTGATGAATGTAGATCGGTGCATACGATCACCTCTGCAGTAGGTGGCTTGTGGTTCATAGATGTGATGGATCCGTTTCTTCAGACATTCGATTGGAATCAGCACCTCTTGGTGATTACGCAACACGCTACACGTTGGGTAAAAGCCGTCGCGATCCCGGATCAACGATCGAGAATCATGACTGTAGTAGTTCGACACACTGACACACACAATCCACAGTGTACTAAAGACGATATTGACAGATCTAGGTCCTTGTTTTGGAAGTGAAGCATTCACTTCCCGTTTGCAACAGCGGAGTATCGACAGAATCACCAAATGAATGGTCTGATTTTGAGGAACAGCCTTACACTAAAGGAGTGGCTGGTCTTGAAAAGAGGTAACTGGGAGACAGAGCTTCCATTGATTCTACTATCACATAGTGCCACCACCCAGGAAGAAACAAAGAAGTCACCGTTCCAGTTGATGTGTGGTAGAAAACCAAGACTACCTATACACAACAAGACCTGGATCTTTCACGAAGATTGGAATATGAAGAGATAACGAACAGAACGGAAAGAGTTAGTCAAGAATATAAAGCATAAAAAGCAGGTAGACGACGCGAAATCAGAACAGTTTTAACCTTCAGATCACCACCAACCAATCAGAATAGTTTATTATCCGCTGACCTAACCAACCATAGATATATCTAAGAATGTGTAATTATGTCGTGGTTTTCCTCAATAAAATGATCCGCTACCAAGTCTATTGCCTTCTCCCGTTACACTAGTAGACAATACCTACCTACAATAAAGAGGAAATATCATCGAGACATGTATGTTAATCTAAACATATGCACTTCCTTAAGCTTAAAAGTTAGTGTAAATACTCTTACTACACTCTATGACTGAATATGAAGGATGAAAGGACATTACAATAACTCTTTCTGTCATTCGAATGTAATAACTCCTACTCAAATCAACTAGGTTTTAGTGAAAGTTTGAGTCATTGACTTAAGCATCTGGCTGCCCATTTAACACTAATGGGGACGGAGCTTCAGATTCTACTCCATTTACTTGAATATAAGTAATCAGTAGGAAGTATATTATAAGCTCCTTCTTCATATTTCAAATATGACGTATAGATTCATGCATAGGCCTTTAATGGAGTCGATCCACTTGACATCCACTTCTTAGTGCAGTATCTTACATTTGGAAAGCAAGGTGTTATAAAGACAGAAGACAAGGGCCATGCAACAGATCGTTTATTGGGAAAATCAACAGATATTTATAGATTTTTATGTACATTATTATTCATTATTGTTAGCAAAGAAGCAGCGTCTTTTGATTGGTCGTTTCCTCACTGAAAGTTATTCTGTCATCTCTTTGTTGTTGTTTCTTAGACAGTCCAGTGATATATTTGCGAATCGTATCCGCCCACGCTAAGTCTGCTGTGATTGGTTGTTGGGTTCCCCAAGTTTAGGCTTTGTTCTCGTTTCTGCTCATGACCCTGATTTGGGACGTAAACATCGACGTAAATTGCTGTCTACCAATTTTAGCTACAGACAACTCTCACCACAGTGTGGAGATTGTCTGGTGCTCTTTGAAGTTTAGTATGTAATCGTGGCATATGTAGGTCTTGACAGTCGTTGCTTTTGTATCACTTAGTTTTTAATGAATTGATTAAGGGGATTCTTTGTCTGCACTAACTTTTGTATATTATCACTGTGTTCAATTCTGGCGTCAAATAAGTGCTTCTATATGGTTCAGGAACTTGGCATCTAACAAAAAGTATTTCCAGCTAGCAGATTTTCATCAACAGTTATCCGATTCGTTCCATGCTAAAGATTACATGACAGTCTGGGAAAAAATGCAACAGGGGACTCTGTCAGATAACCAAGAAGCTGCTACACAGCAAATATGCAGAACTACATGTAGGTGAATTGGGCATATGCTGAAGATACCATTGATTAACATCATATGTCAAGCTGTGGAGTGGGACCGGCATGGGAGACGGTGAGCTGACCGTCTTAGGGTGATACAGAGGAGGAATCGTGTGAGAAGGAAGAAGAGGAGGAGATGAGAGCCTATGGGCAATCGTGGAGCAAGCTAAAGAGGACCGTAGAAAACAAAATGGGACGGAGATGTGCTGGTGACGGTCCATGTACCAATTGGAACCCAAGAAAATACTTAATAATGATGATAATACTGTATTTCTAAAACAACTGACACAACATGCATGTGTCCACGTGTTATGATTAATATTCACCCCGTTATTTCTTATTTTAATTTTCTTCTCTCATGACTTTTTAATAATTTAATGTCCGGCTTTTATGATATGCCTGACTCTTCTCCTCAACTAAATGTTTTCTCTCAGGCTTCTATGAAACTAGAAAAAATGTTCTACTTCGTCGCTTGGCAAGTCCAACAACACCATATACAGTGGATAAGGCTGTTTGTCGTCGAGGTTTACGCCAGAGTTTTGGTTCAGTCTCACGAGATTTTCTTACTAATCTTTCATGCATACCACACCTGTCAATTTGGCGTTGGCTGTCGACAAATGCTGATGCCAATGATCCACTGGGTAACTCAGTAGAACTTCCGTTGAGTAGAGAGATTTTAATGGGATCAATGTATTCCTACAATCAAACTCATAGTGAAAGTGAAGCTGGAGTTACAACTGACTTTGCTCCGGCTACAAGATGTTCCAGTGATCGTTTATTTGAACATCTTCAACAAAGGTAATATCTTCCTACTTTTCAGATAATTTTTTTTGAATATTAAGTTCTCGGGTTTGCGTGGATCCCATCGATTTCAAAATAACCGGTGTCACTAACGTCTATCAACCAGAGGAGTATTTGAAAGCCAAGGATGATTCCATGCAACTAATCCCTCCTGTGTTTAGTCTCACCGTTAATGAGCATTTGTGAGATAAGAATAAAGCTTGAGCAATATAGTAGGGTATTATTATTATTGTGTTATTGTTCCCTTGGGTTCCTAGTGGAACATAGGGCTTCAATTGCACGTCTTCACTTGCTCCTGTCTTCTGTTGTACTTCTAACCTGCATCCATGTTAGTCCATACTGTTTCAATTCTTCTTCATACGATCTCCTCCATGTCACCCTTCCACCGACGTCCCACTCGCCGTTTCCCTTTCGGGTTCCACTCGAGCAATGGCCTGACGCGCGCGCGATGTCACCCAGTGGCCTCCTTAGCCACGAGTGTCCAATCCATCTCCACTTTCTCCTGCATATTTGTTCGCTGGCGATTGGTTCTTGTTTTGTTTGTTCCCATAGTTTCCCATAGTTGGTGATTCTTTCCGGCTGGCCATCTGATCTCCAGTATAGAGCCAGCGAAGACAGTTGTTGGTTGATAAAAGTCTGCAACAGGCTGTTGGAAATGTTCTTTGTGACGCGCCCGCCAAGTTTCTGTCTGATCCGTATAGAACAGCTGACTGACTTGACGTTGTTTGTATTGAAAATCCGACAGAATTTTGTTGTTGATGCTGGCTGAGTGACGAAGATTTCCAGATTGGTTTCAGTCAGGTTGATGAGTGAATGTGTTTCCCGCTCGCCTTCCCGATTCTCGCTCGATTTGACATCCTCGTCCGTTCCTCCTTTCCTGTAGTTGAGACAATGCTCAATGCTAGATAAGTGAATGAAGTGACCTCTTTCAAATCCCTCCTGTTGATGGTGAGTGGCGCTGGATGTTGCTGCTGTTGTTATTGGTCGGTTGGTTATTTTCATAACTTCCGTCTTGTCTATGTTCACTTGGAGTCCTGTCTTCGCTGACTGCTTCTTCGACCAGTTTGTCGGTTTTCGCTTGTAAGTTTTCAATTTTGTGACGGTGACATCAAACATAAATCATCCACGCGCGAAATCCAGGTCTTCTAGGTTCTTCACATCGGTATAATTCTATGATAAAATAATTTTATTCGATGCAAACACTGATGTAGGATTATTTACTGATGAAGACATTTCCAGCATTGTAATATTATAAGACATGCATATATATAACCTCAAACTTTGTCTGCATAAGCCCATTATTATTTTCATCCCTTGATTTAATTAGTCGCAATATTTTCAGTATCCCTGTAATCGACGTTGTGTTATTATACCTAGTTCCCGTGAGCAAAGATTCAATGATCACCCTGTTTTCATCTATCTACCTGTATTACATTTTAGAAATATTGTATTTCTTGTCTGTTCGTGTATGCGGTACATGGAATGTCATCAGTAAAATACAACTGCGTGACTGTCTGGTTACAGGATTTCATCATGAGCTGACATCAGTTAGAGAACCATTGGAAAACCAGTGCTGGAGTACTGGACAGCTGGCTGTTTCGTCAGCCTAGTTTGGGACTCTTCATCAGTACTCACCCACTGGAGTTTGTTTGTGTTTTCCCGAATAAAATTATTCTATGATAGAGCATAAGAATCTGGTAAGAATTATTGGGGCTTCAAAAACTTCAAGCTAAAAATCCTGTCGTAGATTCACTCGCTAACGGTGTACAGTGGTTAGGACTCTCGCCGACCATGAACATGGTCCGAGGTTCGAATCCCTGCCGACTCACCCCTGATAGCTATGGTCGGCCTGCGACATTTGGGCTACCGATATCACATGCTGAAAATTCCATACTTGTACCGAAAATATAGTGTGGAATCAAGCTGTAATCAAAAATAAAAAAATTATAATCTGCTGTGTGCGCTACTGTTGTCACCTACTACTGACAAGTGAATGGATGTTATTATTTATGATTTTGTTAATTTTACTGGTCACTCTTTCTCACTAGATGTGTTACTTACCAAAATTGATTAGTGGATTGACAATAGTGTTTTTAATAATAATAATAATGATTTGCTTTATGTGAAAAACAGCACTTATGGTGCTGTATGGAATTCTTAGCATTTGGTGCAATACTGTTGTATCTAATTTACTCAAGTCAACAACAAAATGATCATTACAGGGTATTATAGGTAACCAAAAATTGATAATAGCAACCTTTTTGGCAAAAGCAGTGGCAATAATAACGTCAAAAAAGTACACACAAAAAGGTGTAAAAGGATAGTATAATTATGTTTATAACTAAAGTTCTAAGTTAATTGGAATAGTGTCACCATAAATTACAATTAGGAGAAGATAAAAGAGCCAATTATTATTACTGATTACATGGTAAGTAAGTTCTAAGTTTCACGCTTAACATGATCTCTACCACGTAGAACGTAAGCCAAATAAGGTGATACAGTACTTAGTTGTACGAGCATATAACTTTTTATAATGACTTCTAGTCCTACCTGCCTGATGGAAATATCCTTAACTGAACTTGACGACTTAGGAATCGACTTGTTACCAGGGAATAGTCTTATGGACTTAGAATATGCAGATGACATAGTCCTGTTAGGGGAGGATGCTGACAAAATGCAGAGTCTTCTGAACACCTTGAGCAGCAATCTCCGTATGTTTGGTATGCGATTCGCCCCTACAAAATGTAAGATGCTGCTACAGGACTGGACCACGTCAACTCCTAGCTTAGTGATAGGGAGTGAAGTGATAGAACATGTTGACCACTTCACCTATTTGGGAAGTTGTATCAGCGTCAACGGACTGATTGACGATGAAATCTCAGCACGGATCCAAAACGTTCGAGCTGCTTTCGCCAACTTACACCATCTCTGATGTAAGGGTGATATCCGGCTATCAACCAAGGGACGTCTGTACTGCTCAGCAGTTCGCTCCGTCCTTTTCTATGTCTCTGAAACATGGTCAATACGAGTCGAAGACATGAAAAGGTTGGCTGTTTTTGATCACAGATGTCTACGATCTCTTTCTCACGTTAGGTGGTATAATAAGGTAAGTAATGTTGACGTTAGGCGTAGAGTGTTGGGCAAACAGGGAAAATCATTCGACGAGGCTATAAAGTTACATAGAATGAGATGGCTAGGTCAGGTGGTGCGCATGCCTAACCATCGCCTCCCCCACCCCGACGGGCATTACTAGCTGATATAGGTGCAGGTTGGAAAAGAGTAAGTGGTGGCCAAACAAAAACATGGCCTCATCAATCCATGAAATCCTTGACAGTTAAACTGAGTCAGGTAGGTAGGGAGATGCAGACTTCCGGGTTGGAGCCCTCGGGACTGACTCTAGGAATCAATGGCTGGAGACAATAGGTGACATGGCTCAAAATCGTTGTCAATGGCCAGCGCACATGTATTCAGTCTCTGTAATCTTTCATATTCCTTTCTACCATTACCCATTCTGTTTCACTCTTATACCTGTCAAACTCTATTGATTCTCTTCACTCATCTTGTCTACCTTTGTGTGTGGTATTTGGGACGTGGCAACTGGAACTGGTGCACTTCGGTGCCAAGTTCTATGTTGAATCCAGACAAACAGATAGAGACCTACCTGATGGGAAACAAGTGTAGGGGAGAGTTGTGAATAGAGGGAGGGGGTGTTGAGATTCAGGTAATATGGATTTTGCCTGTTTCTCACACGAGTTTGGGTGTCTGTCGACTACACTAGTGACACACCATTTGCCCTACTGACAACCTCTAATACCCTTCACAATATGACATAGTGTTTTTTTTTGAGTAACCCAGGAAAGACTAAGGAGGATGGGGGCAGTAAAGTACAATAGGTAAGATGCAAGAGTTAACAAGATGTAAAAGTGGAGGTTGAATGATTCCAGATTGTCTTCTTAATGTGTAGTAGGTTAGATGAATACTTTTTTAGAAATTGACTACCTGGAGGTAGCCTGTTTGAAAGTTGGGCTACCTAAACTAATCTAAGTATTGATGAATGAAGAGTGATCCTAAATGAACTTTTGTTGTCGGCTTCATACCAACCTATTACTGAGCATTGACTAGCAATGGAAGGCATTTTTGGTTGGACACTAGTTAGTAACATATGTAATGTGTGTCAGTCAAGCTTGCAATGTGATCACCATGCTAGGCAGCTTGCCATTATTGTGCACTCTGAAGTGTTGATATTAGATGGTTAGAGGCAATCAGCAGGAAGCCCAGTCTGACCTAGCTGTCGTGCTAGTTTCCACTCACTAGTCAGCAAGGCGTATCTGCAACCTTGAAGGAACTCTTGTCCTTTCTGAGAGTTTCTTTGAGGTTGTAGATACACTTTGCTGACTAGTGAGTGCCGAGTAGCACGAAACCTAGGTCAGATTGGGCTTCTTGTGGCCGATTGCCTCCAACCACCTAATACCAATGGAAGGCGGTTCTGGAATTCTTTTTTCCTTAGTTTCAAGTTGTGATTTTCAGGGTTCACCAAATCCGGATGTGGTTGTACAGTTTCTTACTAATGAAGCAAAGAATTGTGAAATCCCTATCAACACGTGTTAGCCGCACGATTTTTTTCGTCTTTGAGGCTAAAGTTTATTCGGATCAACAGAGTAAGAAATATTATGAATAATTGTTGTTTCTTTTTTTCCTACGCGTCTTAGGTTTTTAGAACGAACAAGCTATGGTGCTGAAACGCGTTGGTTACGTTTTGATGAATTGATGTTTCTCTTCAACTTAGCAATTGATCCCCAAGGCGTTATAATCCAGTCATTTCCACGCAAAGAAAATTGGCCTTTTCCACACTACTTGGGTTCTTGTGGACGTTGGTCTGTTGAAGAGTATCATGGTGTACCAATAAGTCATTTCTGTTTGGTAATATTCCGTACTCGATATCCGTTTTTCTTTGTTATTATTATTATCATAAAATTTGTAGACTAGATTGTATCATCAATTTATTAGATTTTGTTTTGCTCTGGACCCATAGTGATTGTGGTAGTTTAATACAGACAATGTGTTCCATTGAGATATTTTTCTCACATATTCCCACAGTTCAATACTGCTTCCATGTCTTGCCTTCTGCCTGGAGTTTTTGAAGAAGGAGGCATATGGATCTTCTTGCAGGATTTCGAGACTGTTGCGGAGTTTTGAATGGCATTCAAGATCCGTCACCGAAGAGAGTTTCACTTGGAACGCTGCTGACAGGTCAGGCGAGGGCGGCATATGATAGTGTGAGGCGAAACACCGGCGAATACGTGCCAGGGTCACGCAAACTGCTTCCTAAGTGGGAAGGACCATACATGGTCACCGCGAGAATGGGTCAGGTATTTACAATCAGAAGTGTAAACAAAGAGAAGCGGGTGAACGTTAGGGAGCTCCGGAAAGGGATACAGCAAAACCAGCAAACAAATCCGCCAACACCAAAAAGATCGGACCAACTTCAGTCTAGAGTATTTGATGGGGGGGGGGAGGGAACGAGTGTGGTGGTGTGTGTTCCAGTGGAATACTATTCTCACATATTCCCACATTTTAATTCGGCATTAGCAACAGAACACCTTCGCTTCCGTGTCCTGCCTTCTGCTGTTACATGATGACTTTAGCATTGATTTTAACACCGATCTATGTACCAATTTCAATTTTTTTAATTTCCATTTTTGTTTATTCATTTTCACTATAATATTTTCCCTTTTAGGCATCTGTATGGATCAGATTGCAGATTCTGTTAAATATTTTAAGTCTTCCAGAACAATTGGAGCACAAGTCTATTATGAATCAAACATATAATTATAATTATGATGAACATTATTCATCACATGGTTATACAATCTACTTAGGTGATTTTGATTTCAATTCTCTTTTTCTTGTGGATCCAATGACATATGATGTGACTATTGCTAATTTAAGACATGCTATTATTGTTGATACACAAACAGTAAGTACTGCGTATTTATTTATTTCTTTATTTATATTTATTTTGTTAGAGGTTTAAAATAGATGCACTGTTGTCTGTTGATAGTCTTCAAAATGGTATACACGTATCTATTACTATTTGTGCTATTTTATTCCTTTGCATTCCTAGTGGAACAGATGGTCTCAAGCTTTTGAGGTCTTGAAGTTTTACTACTATCAGTGGTGTTTATTTTTAGGGGGTGGGGGTGGACGGTTGCTGTCTTTACTCCTGTACCGCCCCACCCCTTTTTACCACCGGTCTTACTGCCGGCTAAGCGAGGTTCTATGAGTAGTAGTTCATCGGCTGGGAATCGAAACCCGAACTACTCAAGGGGTTGGCTGGCGAGCATTCTACCACTAAACCACTAAGGCATAGTGTACGCATAGCTCTGAGAAAACTCAATTTCCTATGTTTTTTTTTTCAAATTGATGGTGTCTACCGAAAGCGGATGGGGCTGTCATATGCATAATATATTCAGTTTCCAAGTTTATGTGTGTAGGTCTTTTGTTGGCTATACGATTTTGGCAAACATGCATTCATAGCACAAAGCAGCATGATATGCTTCTATACATTAAGCCAAATTAGCATATTTTTATATCATTCTATCAAAGGTCAGTTAAAAGGTAGAAGCCGGATTGATTAACGTCATTAAATTAAAAGAAGGTTATGATTATCGGATTTTCACAGTTGGAATCAGGGCCAGTACTCTGTGTGAAATGTTGCTGAAAACCTTCAACTATTATCATTATTATTTCTGCTTGTCTAGTGAGAAATGAACGTAGTGTGCAGTTTGGTGTGGCAAGTGGACAATGTAGCTTGTGGTCTGCAATTTTGAGTACAGTCAGAACAGATCGTGAGAAGTCGTGACCAGTGGGGTGCAGTAGGTCGGGTGTGAAGAGACAAATACTCGCCGAAGACATTGGCTAGGGGTCGCGCTATGTCGTGAATTGGCAGAAGTTAGAATTCATGGGGGATTGGATCGGGTCCCAGTGGCTTAATGTTCTACAAGCTAGCTCGCTCTCCTTGTAACCAGAAGGTCCTGGGTTCGAACCTCGGGGGTGGGTGCGTACTGATGAAGAGTCCCAAACTAGTCTGACCAAACAGCTGTCCAGTACTCCAGCACTGGTTTGCCCATGGTTCCCTAACCAATGTCATCTCATGATGAAGTCCTAGAACAGATCGTGTTTTCCATTTGGTAGAGCGGAGTTATTACTACGAACCATGAGTTGACTGAGTGTCAAAATGTAACTTTGTACAGAAGTGCAGCACTTTCTGTAGCACACAGTATGATCAGAGGTCAAACCGGAAGCTTTCACAGGTATCAGCAGTCATGTGTGCTGCTATGATGTCATCACCAGGTGTTTAAAGTCCAGGTTTAAGGGGAGAACACCAGATTGCATTCGAATTTGGTATTCATCAGTAGCAGATCTCAAAAGATTTACTTAATTCTTTCCATCACTTTAGTACTTGAGTCTGAGTCTTCGTGGCGTTTACACGACACTGAAATTTAAGTGTACAGACTATGTAGATAAGCAATATATTTGTCCTTTGATTGCATGGAGGATTTCATCATAAACTGACATCAGTTAGAGAACCACTGGAAAGCCCACCAGGGAGTACTCGACAGCAGTTTCGTCCTAAGTTTGGGGTTCTTCAGCAGTATGCACCCGCCGGAGTTCGCCTTGTAACCAGAAGGTCCTGAACTCGAACCTGGGTGGTGGGTGCGTCCTGTTAAAGAGTCCCAAACTAGGACGAAACAACTGTCCAGTACTCCCTGGTGGGTTTTCCAATGGTTCTCTAACTGATGTCAGCTCATGATGAAATCCTCCATGCAGGCAAACAAAATCCCTACAAGACCAATACTTGAATATTTGTCCCTTCTCGGTTTATTGGTTCAAACTTGTTGATCGTGTATGCTGTGTGACTATTGAGTTAAGTCCCACTATACTATTTTCCTCTATAAAGTCCTTTAGTTTTGGTTTTTACTACTGTGAGGTAACTACCAGGGAAGGAAACCGTTCATCTGTCATTAGAGCAAATTACACTAACACATAAATTAGTTTCTTTTAATCTTTTTCTAATGTCCGTATATTCGAATATTCTGTTGATCATTTCCAGTAAGCATGCTTAGAAATCTCGAAATAAATTTGGTTATTACTCAACGACTAATGCTTATGAATTAATCCGTCTTATCCAGCGGAGTACTTTGTGTCTTATTAATAGATTAATCTAGTCATATGGTTGGTTGTTGGTGATGGCACACTAGATGACAGTTTTGAATTTAAGATGGAATATCGTTCTTATTGAGAGACACCATCCACCTGTGTGTCGTGGTCATTTTATACTTTAGCTATGGTGTACACAAATGCTTTTTAGTGTGTTCTTCTTGAAGTAACTGGTGTTTGTATTACTCAGTAATACACTTGTGAGTGGTGTTTTCATTATCATAAAACGTAAATTTCTTTAGATCGTGACAAAAATAGTGTTTCAGTGCTTGATAATAATAGTAATGATTGCAGGCATTAGTTTTTAATTATACCAGCTTAGACAGGTGTTAATACCAACTTCTAGTGAATTTGTTAATTTGTAATGGCTTTTTTATGCCTGATTATTATTGAGTTTTTGGGTTCCGAGTGGAACATTCAACAGATTCAACAGCATTACCTCCATTTCATCCTGTTTTCTACAATCCTTTTCATCTGGTTCCATGAATGCCCATAAACCCGACCGAAAGCTGCTACCATGACGTGGTGGTCGGGCTTGAACACCGCAATGATCTATTCAAGCTATACTGGCTGAGACTTATGTCTCTTGAGGTCTACCATGCCAGGCAGGTTGTTTGGATAGCGGTTAAACAAAAAGCAGCTACCCAATCCAACATCATGTCCAATACAAAATCACAAAATTTCATGCCGGATCGGCCGTGGCCCGGATTAACAACGACCGCGCTTCCTGCTGCCGTGTCACAGGGCAGGAGTGATAAATCTGCTACTGAGACACACCAAACAAAAAAGAACGAACAAAAACAGGCCGCGTGTGACCGGCCTCAAGCAGTTGTCCCCTGGGCTCTGCGGTCACGCAACCAACTTCCACGGTGTGGGCAGCCGGGAAGTAACAATCGCCCTCACAATCCGAAATGCACACGAAACCTCTCTATTACTCACTCATCTTTGTCTTCATCTTCATCTCTATCATCTTGCCTTCCTTCCACTGATGCAACTCCTCGACTTGATAGCTCTCCACTTCCTCTCCACTCTGCGTCCACTAAAAACGATGGAAGCCAAAAAACCACCACCGACAGCCTCTTAAAGCCGCGCCACCAATTTCATATAGGAGCTCTTAATGTTAGGACACTTTGCCAAATAGGACAACAAGCATCACTAGCCAAGACCCTGGCATCACGAGCCATTGATGTATGCTGTGTTTCAGAAACACGCATACAAGACCCAAGTGTGGTTATTCACCTAACCCCACCTGGCCAACAGGTTGAATCTGCAAAATTCACCTTGAGGGTGTCAGGAGATGCCACAGCTAGTTCACGAGGATTAGCTGGCGTAGGGATAGCTTTGAGTACTAGGGCAGAAAAGACATTGCTTGACTGGATCCCGGTAGATAGCCGAATGTGTGCTGTCCGCCTGAACGGATCAGTAAGAAGGAGGAAGGACTGCACTACTCGCCGATGCCTTTTCGTAATCTCCGCCTACGCCCCCACTGACTGCAGTTCAGATGAAACGAAGGATGAGTTCTACCAAAAGCTGTCTAGTTTGGTGGAAAGGCTAAACGCTCAGACATAGTCGTTCTAGCTGGTGACTTTAACGCTCAAGTAGGGAAATTGTGTCAATCTGAGAAGGATGTCGGTGGCACCTATGGAGTTCCGTGCCAGCGAACCGACAACGGTGACCGTCTCCTACAGTTCTGCTCTGATAATCATTTGTTTCTTGTAAGCACTAACTTCAAACACAAGGAGAGACACTGTTTGACTTGGAGACCCCCTTCATCAAACCAACGCTGGACACAAATAGACCACATAGCAATAAGCTATCGTTGGCGTGGGTCGGTAGGAGATTGTCGCTCCCTCTGGTCCGCGCTCGGGTGTGCTTACGACTGAACGGACGTAGGAAACAGCTGGCGGTAAAACCATCACGTCCCCAGCTCGATCAGGAAACTAAATCCGTATTTGAGGAAGAACTAGCTAAACACATATCTGTGTTCGACAGCTGTGCTCACCCTGAAGAAGCTTGGAAAAATATCCAGGCAGCCATAGATACAGCTGTAAAAGCTGTGAATAAGGTAAACCCAAAGGTGAGTAAAAACCACTGGATCTCCACCGCCTCATCCGAACTGATAGATGCTAGAAGACTTATTCCGGCGAGCTCCGAATTCAATGAGGAGCGAAAGCTGCACAAGAGGAAACTTACGAAAAGTCTCCGCAAGGACCGTGAACAGTGGTGGGCGACAAAAGCCAAAGAGATGGAGAAAGCTTCGAGGATAGGCAACACCAGGCAACTCTTTGGACTCATCAGGGAAACGGGTGGGAGAAGACAAATCATTAGTGAGACAATCTCGGAAAAAAATGGCACTATAATTAGCTCCCAGGATAGACGACTGGATCGTTGGAAAGAGCATTATGAGGAGCAGTTTAATTTGCCCACAGCCACGCTCAACCTTCCGAGCATCCAACACCTCCCTGAATGGGATATAGACACAGGTCCTCCGTCACTAACTGAGGTTACTAAAGCTGTCACCAATCTGAAACTAGGCAAAGCAGCGGGACCTGATGGAATGACTCCAGAGGTATTTAAGTACGGTGGAGACAGCTTACTGTCCGGATTAACTGAGGTACTAGGCAGCGTCTGGGAATCAGAAGAAGTCCCATCGGGTTGGTGTAAGTCACTGATTATCCCCATATACAAGAAGGGAGACAAGTCTTCCTGTGATAATCACAGAGGGATTAGCTTGACTAATATAGTATCTAAAGTCTT